TTATGTGTTAAATTTTTGAATTGCCTGTGGGTGAAGGTGTAGGTTGTTTGAGTGGGAAACCTCGTTGAAATCCGCTGTTTTTAAGCCTACTTGCGAGTTAGCAAATTCACAAAGCGTTTTTTTCAAAACAAAACGGAATATGCGATGCTTATTTCCAAATTAGCAAGTCTAGTCTATATACTTGTTTGCTGCGCCGCATGACTAGTAATTCTAGGCTTAATAAATGGAATAAAAAAACACGTAATGTTTCAAAATCGGATATCTATGGTTCTAGTAGAGGCCAGTCTGTCGCGACCGGGCAAAGGCGTGCTCATAGCTGATCCTTCCCGATCAGTACCAGCTCCCGAGCCGAGACAACTCCGGTGATGACGGACATGTGGCCTCGGCCACCGGTTCAGGGTTCCTAAATTTCCCCAGTTTAAAAATATTTAGTGGCGACTCTGTATCTGGCAAAGCCAGTCCATGTTTGGCACTACTTTTCTCAAAAGAATCTGTTTCTCAAATGATTGCCAAATTTCGAGACTCTTTGGTTCAGATAAGAACGCGACCAACAAATCGCGAGTCCAGACTGTTAGTTAGCAGTAAGCCCCCCTCCGCTGGGGCGTCTACAGACCGGCCATGAAAGCCGTAAGGATGACTTGTCATCATTTTCGCTTACTTGCAGGCTTCGGTATGGAAGCGTAGTATCGAAACTGCGCAGCGACTCTCCCCTCGGTTTGACGGATTGTTGAGAGTGGGTTGCCAGACGCCGCGTGGCGCTGGGCTCCCAATGAAATGGGCTAAGGAAGAAGTCGCTGAGGTGTTGGAAAGTGGAGACAGAGGTCTGCTGGCAATGACTAAACAAAGTCGAGCTGACCCCTTGAGTGTCACGAGGAAAGCCCCGACACATTGATTTCGTCAGGAAATGCAGGGAGGAACATGGGGTTCGTAGGTCTCCAAGTGGCGACTGGATCCCGTTCGTACATCAAAGAGTCGAGTGGGCATTTGAACTTGGGGTGGTGAGGTGTTGTCCTGGATGGAGGCGGCGAATGTTGAGCTGGCTGGTGGAGTTATGTTATATGTTCTGCATGACCCCCTTGGAGTTCGGAGCTTCATGCTCGGAGTTCTGCATCCCAGAGAGAATTTGTCACCACCGGAGGCGGCGGGAGTTGGACGTTTGCTGGCCTCTCCTTGAGGGGTCGGTGCCAGGACCGATGGATGTGGGGTGGGCCAAGGGGTGTGGATTATATCTGGTGAGGAGGTCATAAGCCTTCCAAGTTGTGTAGATTAGGCTGTTGGATAGCATGGTTGGGCTCACTCTTGGTTGGGTGGAATCTGGAGTGGCAAAGGGGGCATAGGAAGGTTTCTTTTGGAGTTAAAGCATTATCAGAAAGGCTTTGTTTTTGCTCCGCCAGGCGGTTAATTGCTGGTTGGTGAGACTCGGTGAATACTGTGTGCGTTGTTTGGATTGGAAGGGTCGGTTTGGTGGTTAGGAACATTGGGTGGGAAAGCCATGGATCTAGGTTGTGGACCATTTCACCTTTGCATGGTGGTAGGAAGGGGTTATTAGAAAGGGCCTCCGGCGACATGAGCACAACTGGCACACGAGGTAGAAAGCATCTTCCCACACACGGCGCCAATGTATTGATACATTCGTTCCAAGGAAACGGTCGACTGATCCACGCCCTCAATCCTACGGTATCCGAATGACCAAGTCCACCAGAAGACCTGCACAAGAGTTAACGTGGAACGGTGAGTCCGCCCAGCGAACCCATCCGATAAGCAAGTCTAGGAGAGAGAAGTAAGTATAGAGAGCAATCAGAGATAGGGACGAAGCTTAAACCTTCTTATGTTCTTCAACCTTTGCTCTCATATCCTCTGGTAATCATTTCATGTCTCTTCCGAACCTGTCACTTGGCGATAGTCTATGCTCTAACTTCCTTGTTCATGGTGAAGGCTTTTTCTGTTCCGATGGAGAGGTTATCGCAATAAATCTTAGTACAGGGGCCTCATTTAACGGCGATGTCCGGGCAATAACTTGCAGATTCTTTGTCTGCTTGATGTGGCTTGCCCTTCTCTTCACCATGTGTCTTGGTGTCATTGGTTTATTGCTACATGGTGGTTTCAGCAGTGCGTAGGCTTTTAGCGATTTGAGTTATGTATTGGGCCCTGACATTGGTGGGCTATAATCTTTATGGGTTTACCATGTCAATTGTATTAGAACTTTTTCAATTGATAACAAATTTCAATTTCATTCTGGATATTTTGATTCGTATTTAATTCCTTTCCCAAGTGTTAAAAATTTATACATAATACCCTTCTTAAAGAGTGGAGAAAAAGTCTTTGAATTCTTGACAAACTTTAACATGAAAGTTCAAAATCTGATTAGTGATGTTCGGTTGTGTTTGAATTTGATAAATGATTTTTAAAGGAACAAATTTTGATATCCGTAAAACTATTTAGATTGTGTTTGAATTTTAAAAGAACAGAAGGGAAGCTAAATATCCAAATATTTAATAATATCAAAATTACTTGAGAAAGATTCCATTTTTCTGGAGACAAATAAGACACAGTGGCATCTTAATCAAACAAAAAATACAAACATTTATTTTAACAAATAATAAACAGTACCAAAAACTAAATGCAAACTTATATAACATAGATATAGAATAGATCAAGTCTAGTGTTGGATAGTATTTTCTTAAGACAAAATTTGTCCTCCCACTGGTACTTTGGATTTAATAGATGTCTCTATGTAAGGATATAACTATTGACAGATAGCAGAAGCAGGATTACCATTGCAAGCCTGGTGCACGTTATTGTGCATGCACTCTCTTTGTTGAAAAATAGGACTAAGAAAATATGAAGAGTAAATGCAAAGAGGAAAGAAAAAGAGGGCAGAAATCAATAGTCGAATTTGATGTCAAGATTGAAGTGAGGGGGATGGATTTTATATATTAATTCATGACTCTTTGGAAAGGTTGCAACCATCCACTAAGAGAATATGAAAAGTAAACGCATAGAGGGAGGAAGAACAAGGCAAAAACAATTTTATGTCAAAACTGAAGTGAGGGCGCTAGATTTTATACGTTCTTTCGTGATTGTTTTGAAACGTTGCAACCATCCACTAAGAATAGTGACCCTAAAAGAGGACACATCCTTTCAACTGAAGAGATACAATCATTGAAGTAAATTTTCATTCAAAATTTTCTAGCAAACATAACATTAAATTCCTTTGCAAATTCAAGGGCACCTTTTATTTTTATTTTTTCTCTACAAATTTAAAATTTAAATACAACATTAAATTCTTGAACTTAAGACATTTGAAAATTTGGACGGTCATTTTCATTTACTTTCTAATTTTCGACTATTGTTTGTTTAAGTCTCATTAAGAGATCATTTTAATGCTCCATTAGTTTCGATAGATAACAATTTTCTAAAAAAATGTTTTATATAAAAAATATTTTTGAGAAAATAGAAAACTTATTTTGTATTTGGTTGTGATATCATGGTAGAGGTGGTAGTCGTAGAGGCAACAATAAAGTAAGATATGTGTGGTAGTAGAGATAATAGTAATGGTGATAACAATTGTAGTGCAGTAAATATTTCACTCCATAAAATGTTTTTCACATTTAAAACAATGAAAAATATTTTCCACTAAAAATTCGATTTTCACAAAAAAAAAAAAGAAGAAAAAAAAAAAACTATGTTGTTCAATTTTCAAACTTATATATTTTGAACTAAGAAACTGCATTATATTAAAAATGAGAGAGTACGTCCAACAAAACTTGCTGCTTCTTCTTGGCCATGGCATCCCCATGTCTCCAAACATAGTGCTTGTGAGCATACATTACAAAAGTCAAAAAGTCAAAAAGTTACTAAAAAAAGTTAAGAAATTCATACTATCAATCCCGCTACAGACCCCCAGTGACATGGCGACCCCCAGTGACATGGTGATGAGGTGGCAGCTGATCTGTAAACACAGCTGGAAAAAAAAAATAAATGGAAAAAGCGAGAATTTCTGTCTTCCCTCGTCTTTCCTTGTCTGTCCTCAACTCTCACCGCCATCCTCGTCTGTCTTTCCTCGCCTATCCTCACCTCTCGTCGCCATCCTCCTCCTCCACCATAGCTCGCCGGGAATTTCTGCAAAAGTGTATTCTGGACAACGGCCATTGTTTTGAGCAATATCAGATTACTCGCTCTCATCTATCCTCAGAATTCCTGTAATTTTGCTCTGTCTGGTTTTGCTCTGCTCTGTCTCTGTCCATCAATCTGGTTTATGAGGTAAAAAATCAATTTCATATGGTAATCCAACTTGAGTTCTCTTTCAGTTATATGCTAATTCTGAAATCTGAAATATAATCTGTAAACTCTAATCAATTTGTCATTTTGGACAAGAGTTGTGTTTTTTAGGTAAATTATTGAAATTAATTCTAATCAATTTGTCATTCCTTGTGTGTAAACATATTATGCACACAGTTACTTGTAATTGTAAATTCGGTACAAGGAAGGAAATCTGAAATTAATTCTAATCAATTTGTCATTTTGGACCTATGAAATATGAAATATAATCTGTAAACATAATATGAAATATAATCTGTCATTTTGGACCTATGATTAAATGTGGTTTTTTTATGAGTTATTGTTATATAATATGAAATATGAAAGTTGGGCAGTGTTATATAATCTGTAACCTGAATATGAGTAATTTGTAGACATTTTTGTGAGATAAGTAAACAGTGTAGTTCCTTAATCTGTAAACAGTTTATATGAAAGTTGGTGAGAAAAGTAATGTGAGATAAGTAATTTTGTGAGATAAGTAATGTGAGATATGAAATTTGGTTCACAATTATGAATAGTTCCATAATATGTAAACTGTGTAGTTCCATAATCTGTAAAGAGTTTATATAAAATCTGAAATATGAAGTTTAGTTCCATAATCTGTAAACAGTATTTTTGTTTGGGCATTGTTATGGAAATGATACTTGTTTAATTGTTATTTCAGTACGCAAAGTGGAAAAATGGAGGTTGATTCAAATGTTGGTGAGAATCCTTTAATAAATGAGGGCGAACACGTTGAAGAACCTAAAAAGGGTATGTGTTTTAGCTCAAGGGAAGAGGTGTACACATTTTATGGCAAATATGCTAAGCATATTGGATTTTCTATAGCTCATAGAGCACAACATTTTGGAGATAATGGGAAATTGCTAAACTTTGCAATTGAATGTTCTCGAGCGGGGCAGAGAAAAAAGACATCAGAAGTCAACCCATCTGAAGCCATGTTTGTCCACAAAAATTGGTTGCACAACAAGGGTACGAGGTAGTGTACAAAAGGATGGGAGATATAAACTAACCACAGTTAACCTTGAGCATAATCATGATTTGATTCCCACCGACTCATGTCATTTTGCAATGAATAAGAAAATTCTTACCCCTGTGAAGAGAAGATTAGAAATTAATGATCAAGCAGGGATTGGCGTGTCTATGAACTTTCATTCAATGGTTGTTGAAGCAGGGGGATACGAGTCATTGACATTTGACGAGCGAGATGCAAGAAATTACATTGAGAGAGCTAGAAGGTTGAGGCTTGGGGAAGGTGATGCCGAATCACTTCAAAGTTATTTTATGAGGATGCAAGCACATAGTGAGAGATTCTTTTATGTGATTGATGTTGATGAGGAGTTTCACATTAGAAACTTGTTTTGGGCTGATGCAAGGAGTCGGGCAACTTATGAAGCATTTGGAGATGTCGTTTCATTTGACACAACTTATTTGACGAACAAATATGACATGCCATTTGCTCTATTTGTTGGAGTTAATCACCATGGACAGTCCATTTTGCTTGGTTGTGGATTGTTGTCTAGTGAAGACACTAACACATTTGTTTGGCTATTCAAGTCATGGTTAAGTTGCATGTCAAATCATCCACCAAAAGCTATCATAACTGATCAGTGTATAGCTATGCAAAATGCTATAGAAATTGTGTTTCCACAAGATCGACATCGGTGGTTCTTATGGCATATCATGAAGAAAATTCCAGAGAAGTTGAAAGGTTATGCTCGGTATGAAGCCATAAAGTTGGCTATGCAAAATGCAGTTTATGACTGTCTGACAAGAGCTGAATTTGAGAGTAAATGGGAAGAGATGCTTGCAACATTCAATCTTTATGATAATGAGTGGTTGGGGGTACTATATAATGAGCGAAATCGATGGGTACCTGTCTATGTTAAAGACATTTTTTGGGCTGGCATATCAACTACACAACGAAGTGAAAGTATGAATGCGTTGTTTGATGGATATGTAAGTCCAAAAACTACATTGAAGCAATTCGTTGAACAATATGACAATGCCTTGAGAAATAAGGTAGAGAAAGAGAAAAAAGCAGACTTTAAGTCTCGACACAAATTGTTTGATTGCCTAACTATATACGAGTTTGAGAAGCAATTTCAGCAAGCCTACACCAATGCGAAATTCAAAGAAGTTCAAGGAGAGTTGAAGAGATTAGTTTACTGTCAGGCGGTGATTGTAAAAGAGGAGGGATCAATTTCTACATATAGATGGTAGTTTCTGAGAAGATGAAGCATGTGGACTTTGTTGTCTATTTTAATTCAACTGAATGTGAAGTTCAATGCATATGTCGGTTGTTTGAGTTTAGAGGCATTATGTGTGCTCACTCACTCGCTGTGCTTGTCAGAAGATGCATAAATGAGGTGCCAAGTAAATATATTTTGCCCCGGTGAAGAAAAGATGTGGATAGAGAATACGCATGCATCAAAACCATATACACCGACTTTGGGAATGATTTCAATGCAAGTGCCTATGAGATGATGAACAAAAAATTGATTGCCATTGTACAACTTGCTGGTAACTCTAAAGGCAAAACTAGAATTGTAGACCTTGGGTTGGATAAAATCAATGAGAGAGTCATGAAAGAAGAATCCGGTGATGGGAGTAATTTACCATGTTCAACAAGAAGTCCGATTCACACCGGTTCTACACAAGGAGGTACTAGTAGGAAGGTGATTAGTCCTTTGGTTGCTCGGCGAAGAGGCCGTCCAGTTACGAAATGGAAGGTTGTCAAAGTAGATCAAATTGTTAATCGGTTCAAGGCAACGGCAAAAAAACAAACAAAAGCAAAGGTAAAATGTGTATTCAAATGTTTTTTTTGACAAAGTCTATTGAAGTATGTAAAAGCAATTCATAAATTTCAATCTTTAATTATTCTTCAAAACATACAGGCTGCTAAGTTGCTCCAATTTCAACCAGAAGCTCAAGCTCAAGCTCAAACACCGTATTATCCTTATATGGTTGGCACAGAAAATAGTATGTATGTACCGGTACGTGTTCCAAAGAGGCCTTCATGTACTTTTACAAAGTGTATTCGAAAGATACTTCATGTACTTTTCCAAAGTGGTATTTGGTTCTATTACATGTACTTTTTGAAATGAATTGTCATAGGTGGCCATGGTATTGGAGGCACATCTCTTACTCCATCGACTTCTAAGTGGCACACAGGGGAGGTTTTGATGAGGTGCTCCAACTCGATTTTAATGGTTCTGCATCGGGAAGCTTGATATTACAGACTTGTTTGACTAGTTTCTATGTATTCCAACTATTTGTTTTGTAGATTAGAAATTATGTAAGTCTACTAATTGAGTTGTTTACTTATGATGTTGGAAGATTTGAATTAGTAGTCTATTATCAATGAGTTTCAAGAAACTTTGGAGTGTTGAGAGATTGGATATTATGGTGTCCTACTATTATGAGTTTGAACGTTGATGTTGAGGAAGATTGGGAAATTATGGTAGTCTATATTGTTTTGGAAGTTTCAGAGAAACTTTTATGTTTGAGATTGTAGGTTATGTTACAACTTTGTTTTTATTTGAGATTTCAAACTTTGTTATTTAATATACAATGTTTATTTAGCAGTCCTTTGTATTAAACAATGTTTATTGAACTGTTTTCATGTATTCAACCATGTGTATTCAATAGTTTCCCTGTCTTTAACAATGTATATTCAATGGTTTTCCTGTATTCAACAATGTATATTAAATAGTTTCGCTATATTCAATTTACCATGTTCAATAGTTTACCTGTATTCAACAATAGTTACCTTGTCTTCAACAGTTTCATGTATTTAACAATGTCCATTCAATGAGTATTGAAGAAAGTGTACAAATTTGAACAAGCCATTTTCCATTCCACTAACCACAAAAGAGGTACAATAACAAAACATAACTTCCTCCAAAACATCACGAAAGTATTAAGTCTACTTGAACTTGTACATTGACATCTACTTCTACTTTTTACATATTCATAAGTTTAAAGGCACCAATTACAAACAACACGGACAACATATATATCAACTTTTGCATCTTTGCGTTTTGAATCCGAAGTTGTTCCGTCATCTGTATTTGTTGTTCGGTCATAGCTCGAAGTTGTTCGGTCATAACTTGTTCGCCGACACTTGGGACTTCGTCTCTTTGAATTTGATGACCTCCATATTCTAGATTCGTAGGTAAACACCATCCGATAAAACCACAAACATTACAATAGTAGAATAACTTATTCTTGTTTTGATCGGTTTGTGATATTTTGATTGTGGCCTTTTTATTACATGTATGACAATTTCTGTTGATGTATGTCAACTAGAGGTGAACGCAGGTCGGTTACGGCCACAGAACCTCCAATCCCCCATCCGTCCGCTAGATTGGCGGATTGGAGAAAATCAATCTGCATCCGTCCGTCAATCCGGCGGATGTGGATTGAGCGGATTGGCAGTTTGGCGATTTAAAATTTTATAAATTTTCAACATAATTCAACTTGTGTACTTCCTAAAAAAAAAAAAGAAAGTATTACAGTCAATGACTTAAAAAAATATTACAATCACTGCATGTCTCATCCAAAATAAGAAGTTTGAAACTTTAGAATATCACAATCACTACATGTCTCATCCAAATACTACAATCACAACATGCTTCATCCACATAAAGTATTACAATCTGTGGTTTTTAAAATATAAAAACAATTCAAACTACCAAAACCATGAACAGAGTAGTAGTAGAGATTGTATGTCTCTGTATTGTTACATCTATATCTGTTTTTGAAAACAAAAACCAACCAATATATATCATATTTTCTATTTATTATTTTTAGAGATAGATTTAAAAACCAAAAAATATAGATAAATAATACGTTTATTTTTTTTTCAATTCAAAAAAGATATTCAAGTTGAAAACTTTTTTCAACAGAATATTTAAACTCTTTTTTAATTGAAAACACAAATAGAATATTTAAACAAACTGAGAACATAAAGTCTTATAAATTACTAGGGGTGCTCGCGGTTTTACAGTTCGGTTGCGGCCAAAAGAATTTCCAATCCGCCATCTGTCTGCAAGATTGGCGGATTGGAGAAAATCAATTCTCAACCGTTCACTCGTCACCACGCATTCGTCCAAAATGCGGCGGATTGGTTCTGTTCAGTCGATTTTGGCGGATCGGTATATCCGCTGCTCACCCCTAATGTCAACCAACCTGAGCTACTGCCACTGACACTTGAACTTGACATCTGCAACGAGGGACAAATAGCAAGTTAAGTAAAGTTAATAAGTTAAGTTAAGGGAGAATGTTGGAATTATTGCCTTAAAAGTATTTCTGATGAAAAATAATTAGGAAAATGGTATGAAGTCGACAAATCTGATTCAGCTTCACAACTCCTCTACTTCAGCTTCACAAGGATGAAAGTGATAGAGGAGTCCTGTAGCTGATCCATTATCCAAGTAAAAGTTCTTATATAATCCTTCATTTTCCCCTTGATGGTTTCATCCTTGTGTGTGCATGCTCCAGAAACAAGAGTTGTGTTTTTTAGGTAAATTACTGATCAAATCCACTTGCAGCATGCACACACAGGTCCAGCTGCAAGTATACACAGGCATACATCTCCACCTGCAGCATGCACACATAGGTCCAGCTGCTAGAAAAATCTGAAAAATTAATGATTTTTCAGGTAAATTACTTGTTGATAGATACATAGATATTTTTTTGGTTCCTTGCTTTTTTAGGTTTTTAGGTTTTATAGATAGATAGATAAATAGATAGATAGATAGGTAGATACAGGTCAACAGGTTTGCTAGATAGATAAAATTCCAACAGGTTTGCTAAATTGCTAATACAGGTCAACAGGTTTGCTAAATTGCTACAGGTCAAACACATGGTGATGAGGTGCAATTATTTGAATTGGTTTTCAGTCTTCATTATAACCAATTGCTTATAATTTTCAGGTTTTCATAATTGCTTATAAGCAATTACAAACCTGTTGACCTGTATTTATCTTGGTTTTCATAATTGATTATAAGCAATTGCAATTGCTTATAATCAAGAGTGCTTTAAACCTGAAATTGATTAAATAGGTTTTCACTCTTGATTATATATGTTTAATCAAGAAATTATGCACTGGAGAAATTGAACCAATTCAAAAAGGTAAATGATTAGATTAAACATTTCATTGGGGAATTTCATCGAACACGTTTAAGGCAATGTAAGACTCCAAATGAAAAGGCTGCAATTCGTAAATGAAAATGCCACAATTCCCAAATGAAAAGAAAATTTATGAAAAGGAATTTCAAATCAAGGTTTTCATCGAACAGGAAATAGATAGATAGACAGATATATATATATATATATATACACAGATATACATACAGACAGTCGGGGCTTCACAGATAAACAATACCGATCTAACAATCATCATCAGATCAGAGAGAAAGAGATATAATAGATCTGGAAGGGAAGAAGAGACAGAGAGATTCGCGAGTGAAGGGAGGAAACGAGCTGTCGGTGTCGGAGTGAAGGGAAGGAGTGGTCGCCGGCGTCGGAGTGGGAGTCAGGCGTCGGAGTGGGAGGTCAGTAGCTGTTACCGTTGGAGCAAAGACATATACGTGTTTGAGGGGGGAGGGGGGAAAATTTCAAAATGAAATGTGAACCTGTGTGTTTGGGTCTATTAACAGATACATAGATTTTTCAGTCACGTGACAATCGAAATGTGAACCTGTGTGTTTGGGTCTATTAACAGATACATAGATTTTTCAGTCACGTGACAATCATCGAGTACCACCTCACTAGGGGTCGAAAAAAGTGGAAGTGGAAAGCATTTTTGTAAATTAAATAATAATATGACAAAAATACCAGCATCATTCATGTAATAAATATGTATGGCAATTATGTGAGAATAATATATAATTTTTTTTTCTCCAAAGGAGGGAATAGGCTGTCTCATGTCGACAATTGAAAGTGGATTAGAAATGTCACATGAGTGTGCGAAAGATACCACCACCCCTCAACACGTAAGAGCTTTTGGAAGTAGTGCAAGTAGGCCAAATGGGCCCGGTCTTTGGGGTTTTCAGTTTAAAAAAAAAAAAAAAAAAAAAAAAAAAGCCAAATTGGATTAAGCTCGCTTAAACCCAAACCCAAATTCAAACCCGAGTAATGCTTTCACAATAAACTTAACTCAGGTTAGGTTTGAGTTTCCCACAAAAGATTAGGCTAGAATTTTGAGCATATATTGGGTTAAGTGATGAAGTTCTTCTGATGATGGATTTCAAGGAGAAAAAGAAAAAAGAAAAAAAAGTGTCATATAACTTGTGACATTAATCCAATAACCAACAAAACTCTTCTGCCACGAAACTGAGAAAAAAGGGGGAGAAAAAGGGTAATCCGACTGGAGTTTTTTTTTTTTTTTTAAAGATTTGAATCTGACTGCAGTTTGAACCTGTATATATTGTAATTGAATTTAATCCAACAGTCATAGCAAGAGAAGATGAGCACCAATGGTTGCAGTGAGAGGAGAGTATGTTGTTTCTTACACATAAAATTTAATATATTTATATGTATCCCTCGAGTTGCTCGGGTTGCCCAAAACCTCTATCCAAATCCAACTTGAATTTTGGCATGCCCAAGTTTAAGATTTTATGGGCTAAGCTTTGAGTTGCTCAGATTAGATCTATCCGCGTTGAACTCCTCAATGTCATCCGCACTTCCCTGTCCACTTCACACTCCCCCGCTAATTAGCTTAAAAATAAAAAAATAAAAAAAAGGGAAAAAAGTCCGGACATTTTCATATCACAAAAATAAGCAGCATATACCTTTTTTTTGGTCGGCAAAATAAATGTGTTTGGTTTGAGTTTTTTGAATTAAGTTTTTTATTTTTTGTGTTTTTTTTTGTTTTTAGTGAATATTTTTAAAATTTTAACCATTTTTCTTTTACTTTTTAGATGTACTTTATTTAGATGTATCTAAAACGTAAAAAATTTGCGAAAAAATATTTTAACTACATAAAAATACAAAAAATATACTAATTCTCGTATTTTCTTTTTTTTTTTGTTATATTTTTGGTATTTAGTGAATTTTTATAAGATTTTTTTCACTAAAGTTATAATTTTTGTATATTTATATTAGGTGTATCTAAAAATTAAAAAAAAATTGTTAAAACATTTAAAAAAATCAATAAAAACAAAAAAAAATACGAAAAAATAAGAAAGTACAATTTTCTGAAAAGTGTTTTTGGAAAACTAAAAAGAAGCAAGCTGAATCACTTTGTTTGGTTCTGGTTTTCAGAAAACAATTTTCAAAAAATTCTACTTTTTTATTTTTTGTATTTTAATATTTTCATTGAATTTTTTCCCATATTTTAAGAATTTTTTTAAAAAAAAAAATTTAGACACACCTAACATAAATACACTTAAAAAGTATAATATTTATGAAAAAATAGTTAAAAAATACAATAAATACCAAAAAATGCGAAAAAAAAATTGAAAATTCAGTACTTTTTTTTGTATTTTTGTGTATTTATTAATTTTTTAAAATATTTTTTCACAAATATTCTACTATTTAGATACATCCAAGAAAGATGCATCGACAAAAAGTTAAAAATTTGCTTAAAATATATATATTTTAAAAAATTCACTAAAAACAAAAAAAAAAAAACAAAAAACTCAATTTTCAAAAAACTAAAACCAAATATTGTTCTACAATTTATTAATATCAATACCATCTTTCCTTTTCCTTTTTTTTTTTTTTTTAAGAAAAATATTTGAGACACTTAATTTATCACCCTTAAAAATCATCCCTAATAATGTGTCGAACCAGTGTCAAACTTTGATTTGTCAAATATTCTATCATGTGGAATCTAATCTCAATGTCACGTCATTAGAAATCATTTAAAGGTAATAAATTAGCAGGCGTAACATTGCTGTTTTTTTTATTTATTTTTGTGGTCAGATCAGCATAATTGGACCATCACCAGTACCATTTAAGAAAGGTTTGTTTCGATAAATGTCCGTATTGATTAGTAGCTCCAAATATATCAGTCCAAGCTTTCATTTACATTAAATTAATACAAGATATGAGTGAATGAACTTCTTAACATCCAGACATTTGTATTGTTGCATAAATATTATTCCAGTCATTTCTGGTTAAACATATAATATTCCACAAACATCCGCATGATATTCTTGTCGATAAAAAGTTTTCCATAGGATTGCTTACCTGCAAGCAGAAACTTCACCAACATCAATTTCAAGTTATGCAAATGATTTTACTGTTGAATCATCAAAACAGTCCTACAATGTTAAATTGCTGTTAAAATACTCATAAAAATTAGAGAAAAATTAAAATTAAAATTGCCATCACAAACCAAAAGACAAAATCAAAGAAGCTACTTACAGGTGATGAATGTTTGAGCTCTCTTTTTCTTCTTGGTAAACATCTCATATATAGGTACTATAGTTTGTCCTCAGATCAAATCTGTCTATCACTTTAGATTAGTCCACATAAATCATGGTTCATTGGTTGTTGTCTTCCATAAACTATGAAACAACCTTGCGAAAACAATAAATTCAAATCAAGCGTGGCTGCATCGCTTTCTGTCATAATTGTTTTGCTTTAATATTGCAAGATGCTAATGGGGAACACTAGGCTTCATTTGGGCACTATATATTTTAGTCAAAAAATCACTATAAATTGTCAAATTACTCCCTCTACTTTCTGTACATATTTTCGTAACTCTCTCTAGTTTTCTGCACTATTTTCGTAAAAAGTCAAAAAGTTACTAAAATAACATATTCCCAAACGAGGCATAAGTTTCTTCCATGCCGACAACTCCATCTTTGTGGGCTCCTCTATGGAAAAACACTTTTCATATCAATTAGCAGAAGCTTCATGACTATCTCTGCAGAAGAATATTGAAGAAAGAACTATATACTCAATGCGTTAAAAATATAATGTATATGTGATGAATGAATATGCTTGGTCAAATTTAGCAAAATTTTATCGCCTTGAATCACAGGTCACACAAATCATAATAGATGTAGATGCAGAGATACAATTGTCTTCCCCTTAGCAAACAGAATTTTGCAGAGTTCACGTGCAGTGTACAGCGTTCATAATTTCAACTATATATCAGCTTAACAACGATATCAACAATCACTCTCAAACAATCACATAATTACAAGATATTACCAAAAAAAAAAAATATTGCCTAGTAGTTGTTAATTGAAGTTTTATCCTCAATTCTGGAAATATTGGAAAATTATAAACTGCTTGAAGAAAGCAAGACAAGTGTTAAATTTAAAAAGCTAAAGTTGGTTTCTGACATCAATACTTACAATGACCCACTCCATTTTTACACATCACTTTAAGCAATATCATTTAGAGGTGGTTACAGTGACACTGGTGAGACAGATAAGGATTTTCAATGATAATCTCACCCAAAGCTTGACCTACCAAAACCTTCAAAGCTTTTTATTTTTCAGTTCCCTTGGTGACCCGGACGAATAAAATATCTTTGCACCCAACAGGATTCGACAAAAAATATTTTGTAATCCTACACGTCATGATGGGCTTTCTCTTCACCAAATACCTCGTAAAATAATTCATGATACATCACGTGTTCTATCACTTTTGCATGAAGAAAATAAAGGTGCATATAGATCTTATAATGCTCATATATCTGCTCGCTCATCATGTGTATCCTTCAGCAGTTGAATAGATCTGTTGCACCCTGATGCACAAACTCATCATGTGTATAACTACATGGCAGACCCTAGTAGCAGGGAATTCCTACTTGAGTGATGTTTCTTACACAATTCCTTGTTCCCAAGTTAGAAACTCACTCTCAACTAAGACAGAACCTCTCAAATGTACAAATCTCACAGAAACAAAAGAAAAATAACTCAAACTTATTCTAATAGTTGCTATTTACATAAAATTTATTTATACTTTGTAGTAGTTGATATTAATCTCTAATATTTAATCATATTTTAACAAATATATTATAACTCTTAATTTTATTTTATTTTTTTGGATGGGGGAACAAATATATTATAACTAAGCAGGAAAAAAATGTTAGAATATATTAAATTTGTACACCTGTCTTGATGAATGGCCAACTGCACATGCATCCATGTTTTGTGCAGCCAACGTCAAGCATGCACGTACACAAAGGCAGAGATGTTCACCAACTTGTGGGTCTTAAACCCACTGCTCAATTTGCCCACATGATTTGATCTTGACAGAAATGGCCAACCAAAATCTTGTATCTTTCTTTATGTATTTCTCTGCTTACCTTTATCTCAGACCCTTCTGGCAACCGCTGGTTTCTATTCATCAACAATTATGATGAAACGGTCCTACTTTCTTTCCTACTTTCACCAGTCCCAAATCTCTCCTTTTTAAATTCCCTTTCCCCAACCTATCTCCATCCGTGTCTCCTTTGACAATCAAAGCAATCCATCATCAAGCCCTCTAAAAGAAAGTTTGAGATGAAGGTGAGTCCAAACTCTTCAAAATTTAGAATGAACATAATGAACTATTTTTAACTTCATCATTTTCCTTTCAATGTTGCAGTTACTAAACTGGATGCACCGTAAACTAAGGCAAAATAGCGACGAGCCATTCAAAGAATTCACCACTGGTACTCCCACTGTCCTCTGTGTGTGTGTGTGTGTGTGTGTGTGTTTTCAATGTCATCCTTCTCTCAAAAACATAGCCTGATGAATTTCTAAGAACACTTTTAAGGACTACAATCTAATGTAGTAAGTTTTTTCTAGCTCAAAAGGAAGTCCATAAAGTTCCCACCTCTGCAAAAATGGTCCTAAAAGATGGATACCAACCTGTGATATGGCCACTGTATGATAACATTATTGATATGTCATTACACAACTTTACCACCCTCCTTACAAAAAAGTCCATATATTATGGAGCACTGCAGCCACTTGATTGATTCCTATCCCAATTTAATGCAAAGAAGAACGATAGTAAACACCAGCTGTAAGTCTGGTTGACTTCTTTCGATGTCTGGTTTCAGGGAACTCATGTGGCTGTTTCTCAACACAGCCATCGCTTTACGAACAACAATGCTATTACGGCCAGAAATCTGCTAGTGAACTCAAAATCAAGAGAGTGGAAGGGGTTTATGAAGAAGACTCGTCTATTATGATCAATGCGCCTTTTGACGGCTTTCTCACGATTGGAACCTTTGGATCAGAACCAATCATGACAGTGCCCTCAACACCAACATTTCCCACGCCTTTCGATAAGATAACTGCGAAAGAAACAGAGGTAACAGAGAATGAATTGAAACTTATTAATGATGAGCTAGAGAAGTTCCTTGAGGCCGAAGCAAAAGAGGAGGGTGATGAGTTATCAGGGAGAAGCAGCTATGTTAGCATAGTTACAATCTGTGGAAAGCAAATTGAAGGTGTGGACACCGAAGAGTATGGAGATACTGTGGTGTGTCCACTCCGGGGATACCTTTTTGGCTCGTCAATTGAACTGCCTGAAACAAGCATACAGGTAAAGAAAGAAAGGACATCACTGGAGCAGCTCATCAAGACTAATAACATAGTATATGACCATTCTACAAATATATGTGAGGAAGTGAAGAACCATGCCAAGGGAACATATGCCATGCGTTTAGTCAAGAAGATTCTAAAAAAGCTCCATTCTTCTCCAAGAAGCTCTGCAACTTCTGCTGGTGGTGGTGCAGCAGCTGATTCTGTTGCAACCAAGAGGAAAATCCCCAAGGTTGGTCACCCCAAAACTAGGTATTCTATGAATGACTCATCAAATAGTGGTCTCATAAGTGTGGTCGTTTATATCTTTGAAAAAATATCATCATTATGCGATGACTAACAGTCTAATTAAGTTGAAATGTTAAATATAACGCTCTTGAACGCAGAACAATGACTGCAGGACTATCGAAATCATTGAACGAATCAGATGGTATAGGCTGTCTGATTCTGTTGCTCTTGACCAAAAGAAACTCTATATTGGGGGTTTTATGGTGGTTGCCCACTTTGTGCAATCACTAAAGATGTCCCATTTTGGATGGTCCTATCAAGGTGGACTGTAAGTCTGTAATAAAGTTTTAAAAGGCATTATTAAGGCTCACCTTGAGAAAAGGTTAACGTTTTAGCCCCCAAGACTTGCACATCACAATTTGAGATGTGTGCCTTGTACCCCTTTGTGCCTACACACATGAGGATTACTCATTTGGAGAGCTTGTCTTAAGCTATTATTAAACTTAGGCCTTGTTTGGCATTTGGCTAATATAGACAAGAAAAAATCACTATAAGTTATCACATCACTCTCTCTATTTTTCTGTACATCTTTTCGTAAAAAGCCAATTAAAATAACTATTTCCAAAACGAGCCCTTAGTCAAATACATGATTTGAATATCAGCAATGCTAGGTATCATGAAAAATCTTTCATGAAAATAATCATGAAAACTTTTTGACCCTTAGATTACACACTAATCAAGATAATCCAAGAATCATAAATCTTTCATGATCATTTTCATGAAAAAATTTTCATGATCCCTAACTTTTCTCTTTGAATATAAAAAAAGAACCTCTTTTATCAAGTAAATGACTGACTAAGAAAAATCAGAAAGTCAAGACTGTAAGTAAGAACTCAATAACAGAAAGCTTAGAATGTCAATTTTGCCTTCGTTGAGAGCAAGCTTTCTTCTTTGTAGTGAAATATTTGACGCCTTGAGTAAAAAAATATTTATGCCCATTTAAAAACAATTAAAAAAAATTATTTATTAACAATGAATAAAAATTCAAAATTTAAAATGTTAATGCCTTGAGGCTTACGCCTCACCTCACGAGGAATAAAACACATCATGATACACATTGACTTTTCAAAACTTTGGACCATAATAAGCATGATATGAGAATTGTCAAGGTAAGCAAACATATAAGAGTCCTGTATACAAAATCTCATGATAAAGATACTTGATGAGAATCCAAGCAACCAACCAAAAGAGATTTTGTCAATGACATGTCACCAGTTTTTAACAGATGGCCCGCCTAGACAATAGTTTTATAAAATACCACCGCCATATATAACTATTTTATGGAGGTTGGAAAGCTCAGAATTCAATACAACTTAACATTATTACTCTCTGAGTTTTTTAGTTTTCTAATGTGTGACATGCAGGTTCTAAAAATGTTCCACAAAAAAGTCCATCCTGAAAGATCGACAACAGGAGAAGAGTTCACTAAGTCACATAAATGTGAGATCATGAAAAATTCCACTGATGCTGGCTATAATAAGGGAGGCCCGGCCCTCCAGAACAAAGACAACAATGGGTCTCCTCTGAGAGCTATGTTAAAGAAGGAAATCACCAACTCGAACCTAACCTATAAGAGGCTCAGCAGCAATGGTCTGACGCAGAAGAGGGAGCACTGGATCAAAACAGATGCAGACTGTAAGTATATATGCACCACCTTTACTTTAGTAAACCATTCCAGTTCCCAGAAATCAAGAGCGTCTTAAGGAATAGTTCTAAAAACCGGCCGATACGCTACGTATCGGCCGATACATATCGGAGAAATAGGGCACCGCAACGGATACAAGCTGGTATACCGCTGAGATTGAAAATTGCAAGTGTATCGGCCGAGTCCCGGTACGTATCGGTCTGTAACCATTACACAAGCCGCGACGGGTCAATACTCACCGGTTCAGACCAGTACGGGAAAGAAAAAGCTTAAAAACCTATGAAATGATTTTTAAAATTTCACCGCTGCGACACCCGATTGCCGATACGTACCGATCGATACTACCGATACCGATAATCGGTACCGTTACGTTACCCGATACCGCGATTTAGAACCATGCTTAAAGGATTGTAATTCATAGTTGTGACTATCTAAATAATTAAGTTAGGTGCAGCGCAGCTCCTACATTTAACTATATCCATGTGTACATGTAATAATAATTCAATATATGCAGTCACTGTAACTTGCACGGGGAATCAGAACATAGTTTGCTAAATTCCTGACCCTTTTGTATTGTTTGCATTGTAGACTTGGTGTTAGAGCTGTAGAGCAGCGGAAGCTGAAAGAAGTGGCAATTAGCTGTCATCCTTTCCGAGTAAGAAGTGTTAATGTGGTGTTTGATAAGATATTGTATGCAGTTGACTACTTAGCTAGTTTTGAGTGATGGTGACCTCAAGTAAAAAGAGAAGAATAAAAGAGGCATCCCTCTCACCTCACTCAGTGTGATATCAATATTGTGGTTTTCAGGATTAAGTTGCAGTGCTTGTCCTAATTAGTATGAATATTTCAATTGATGAAAATTTCATTTGAACTATTAAGAATCATCTTGTTGTTGCTGTCAAATGAACCAGTATTCCATTAGACACATATATCATTATAGGGTTTACTAAATTTCCATATAACAAGGTCATGCCCAGGAATACAAGCTAGAGTGGCTATGGGAGCACTAAACAACTGTTTATAAGAAGAATTCTTATAATGTAGTCCAATGCATCTCCAGAGCAGTACTACACATACCAACTAAGCAGTAGTTCACGTTGTTTGGATTTTATTCATTGGTTGTGATGTGTTTCGCTGTATGTCTAAGTGATAAATACCTGTGTCTCCCAACATCTCACGTTATTATAAGTGTTCGTACTTCTTAGCATGTAAAATGAACGCACAAAACAAAGTAGACTAACAGTTTTGGCCCAGTGGCATTTGGGCTTGTGTAGTGAAAAATTAACAAGGGGTCTACATCCTAGACAAAAATTTAGATTTTTGTATCTATTAAGTAATATTAGCCCCAAAAGAATTCATAATCTTCAAGTATAAGGGACCTTGACAAATGTGACTGATCTTGTGCAGCCACTGAACAACTAAATGAATCTTTTTTTCTTTTTCTTTTTTTTTGGTGGATAAGTTGAACAACCAAATGAATGTGAACCAGCTATTACGAAATTTATTGTAGTGATGCTTTTCAAAACAGGCTAAAAGCCTACCTATTGATGCCAAATGACTAAACATTCCTATGGATGGTTAGCCACCCATCTATTAAAGATATTTCAGCCTTTTTGCTTAAGTAGTTATTAATGGTACACTTTTTTTTTTGGTGGATAAGTTGAACAACCAAATGAATGTGAACCAGCTATTACGAAATTGATTGTAGTGATGCTTTTCAAAACAGGCTAAAAGCCTACCTATTGATGCCAAATGACTAAACATTCCTATGGATGGTTGGCCACCCATCTATTAAAGATATTTCAGCCTTTTTGCTTAAGTAGTTATTAATGGTACACTCCAATCCACAAATCATAAGAGTGTTACATGGTTATTTCCACATGTAAGAGGAATGAAACGCGCATGGAGTAAACTACAAGTAGGTAAAGTAGAATTTGTTTCTTCTTTTTTTTTTTTTTTTTTTTTTTTTTTTTTTTTTTTTTTTTTCTGTATCTTGAGTGGTTATCCTAAATAGGTTTGATTTCAAATTCAAAACCTATTTGGATAAGGATTCAAATTCAAATTTAATGGTCATGCCACATGGGCGCCCATTACTAACAGAACCCATAGCGAGTGTAAGTACATATTCAATATAAATGAACACATCAATTTCTCTGAAGATTCTACATATACAAGCTGTGCGGGGGATAAATATTCGATAACGCCCGTACTCCTTGTGTCCAAGCTCCGCTTCTATCCGATTAACCTGCAAACACAGCGGCGGTGAGCTACCCGGCGGTGTGTTGCCGGAAAACCCCTCCGACGGTCAAGTTAGCACACACTCAGAAAGATAGAGGAGCTAGATGAATGTTAAAGTTTTTCTCACCAACTATGTTCTATCCCCAGCATGGGGGGCGCAGTCATTTTTATATACTTCTTGCGCTCACCTCTGCATCCATTCGCCTATTGACACGTGGAGCTGCTCTCCTATCATGCTCTCCCACCTGTCAGGGCAAATTCAGCTAAACACCACCTAATCAAGCCATCACACGGTATTAGCGGGAACGGGCAGCCCGGCGGCATCACTCCGGCCTCATACGATTGTGCTACTTAACGAGTCCAACAATGCCACTCACCGAGCTCCATCACAACCGAGCTTAGTAGCATTCTGGTACGACTGAGCTTCAGACAAGTTAGGTCGGTCTGCAGAAGACCTTTCCCGCTGAGCTAAATATGCGAACAATAAAACCCGGGGTGACAGACGATCAACTCGGCTGAATGGGCCCTGGACCTCAACCGAGCAAATCAACTCTAGACAAGCCCAAGTTAGCTCGGCCCAAACACGCTTGGACCTCTTTCTGCCCGGACTCTACCACGGTCCAAAGCCAAATTATGAATCTCTCTCTCACAAGCAAATACATGTATATGTCATGCGAGCCTTTAGTTGAATAGCTTATGCGGTAACTGGTTCACTGGAATGGAATGCATTTTATCATTATTTTTTTAGTCAACAAAACATAGGAATGAACATTCTAATGAAATAATCGTTTCATTTCAGTGAATCAAACATTACCTCAGATTTAATCAAATTGGTTACTTGCTTTGAAACTTCCTATAAATACACATACACTCTCATTTCCAGTAACAATAATGGAATTCATGTCAAACTCAACTACAAACAAAAACTGTAGTTGAATACACAATGTAGGTGTCTGTATATACATATAATAATAATAATAATAATAATAATAATAATAATAATAATAATAATAATAATAATAATAATAATAATCACTATTTTTGGTTCCATTTTTTTGAATTTTTTTTTTTTTAAAGTGATTTGAAAACTCTATTTTGAAGAAGAATATTTGTTTGGTTTTCAAAAAAATGCATCATTGCAATTTCAAGTTTCCCTCCAATTTAAGGAGAGAGACAATTTAAAAAAAAAAATTGTCACATGAAAAAATACTCTCATCTTAGTTATATATATATATATATGTACATTCTATATATATATGAAAACATAATTTGGTATGTACCAATTTATGGGTATATATCCTACTATTAAATGTGTGACTTTATCATAAAATATTCATTCATTTCAACTGCAGAAAGCGATTTTTTTTTTTTTTTTTCCAAATTGGCATTAAAAAATTTCTTTTGTAGAATTAAATTTTCGTAAATGTTACGTAGAAAATTTATTTACAAATTCGCATTAAAAAAACCAAAAACTAAAATAGCCTACTAAAATAGTAACTTTCCAAACACCTACTTTATCATAAAATTTCCACTTATTTCAACCACAGAAAACGTACATTTTTTTCCAAATTGGCATTAAAAAATTTCTTTCGTAGAATTAAATCTTCATAAATGTTATGCAGAAAATTTATTTACAAATTCGCATTAAAAATATTGTAATTTTTGGAAATTTATTTACAAATTTTTTGGAAAACATAATTTTTTTTACAAATTGGCATTAAAAAATTGTAAATTTATGTTTAAATTTATTTACAAAATCGTAGATTTATATTTAAATTGACGATTTACAAAATTTTTTACATAACATTTATGAAAATTAATTCTACGAAATAAATTTTTTAATGCCAATTTGGAATTTTTTGTTACGTTTTCTATGGTTGAAATGAGCGAAAATTTTATGATAAAATCACATATTTAACGGTAGGATATGTACCTGTGGAAGGGTGAAATTTATTCTCCACAGGAAAAGCGAGATGAGCTACTCATTCCTTCACTCTGTAGAAAAGACAAACACTAAAACGTCAGTGATCTCTCTCGACCATGGTTGGTCAGGAGGACGCTCCGACGATCAAATTAGAATCTTGTGTGAACATATCAGTTTTCTTCAGGAAAATATCTTTTCTTCTTTCTTTTTTTGCTTGCCATTAAACAATCTTCTTTCTTCCTTTTATAGTGTGGATACCAGGTATCGTGACCGTTAGATGGTTGTATCGATCAAATGGTGTTTATTGCGTGCAGGCACTGGTCGAGCAAGTGGACAAGTGATCTTGATCTGCCATTGTCGGAGTTACTGTGTTATAGATGGCCTAGATTTAGTTCGGGTTTGGGCACTCATTCTTGATCTTTGGATTTATCTTATCGGATGCTCGGGTTGTCAAAGTTGGTTGATTTTGTATCCTTTCTTCTGTTGGTTTTGATCTCCATCATTGATTTCTATCTGATCCAAGGGTTTTCCTTCATGTTTAAGGATCTCTTTTCTGGAAGTGATCCTGTTTAAATCTCATATCACGTGATCTTGTTTTCTTTACAACTGTACTTTCTAAGGACTTGGGCCTGAACTTTACCTTGGCTGAGTAAGAATGGTTTGGGTTGCGTCTTAACTTGCTTGGGCCTTGGGCTTAAATTTTTATCCTTTATAATTGGCCCCCCTTCGGCAGTTCATTTTAATGAATTGCCGAAGGTGCCCTAGCCGACTATTGCAGGTCCCTAGGAAAATAGTGCCATTTGTGACACGCGTCCGTTGAGTATTCTTATTTAAATAATGGCGCCCGTCATTTCCTTCTTCAATGTGTCGTTTCGCCTCTGACGTATTTAATTGAAGGTTTGGCCCCTCCTTTTTCATTGCTTATCGCATCATGTCCTCAACTCTTATATTCATGTCCTCTCCCTTCAATGGAAGCTCTTTGTAAGTTTATCTATTTTTCTCTTGTGATTTCTCAATTTTGTTAGCTTTTGTTTGACTAAAATGAATCGATTGAGGTCATTCTTCAAATCCGAAGAGAGCATTGCTGAGTTCAGGGCTTCGTATAATATGTCTGAGGATGTCGTTGTTCGCCTTCCTACCTTCGATGATAGTTTGTCAGAGGGTTCTGAAGAACAAATTCCTCTTTCCTTGATAGATATAATAGAGGAAGAAGTTAGATTTCCTCTACATCCTCTCCTTCGAGAGGTGCTTCACCTTTATGGGGTACCCCATTTCCAATTGTCCCCTAATTTCTTTAGGATAGTGATGGGTGTAGTGGCCCTGAATGATCTCTTTGGAATCAATTTAGGTTTGTCTGAGATTAGGTACTGCTGTAATTTTGTTCCAACTACCAAACAAAGAACGAAGTTTTACTTCAAACCCAGGTCGGTGAAGCCCAACTTATTCAAATGCTTCCCAATTCTGGTAAAGGTGTAAATTCTATGTTTATTCAA